GGTGACGCGGTTCTTGACCCGCTCGCAATGCCCATGTTGCCCGACCCTGTAGCCTACAAAGTCCTTTTTCGTGGCCGCTTATTCTGTGATGTACCGCGATGCCGGCAGATCAGATTCGATTCAACCATCAGCCGGCAACATCCAGACGCCTCTCATTGCCGCGTCTAGCTTCAGGCGAGCGTACATGGTATTCGATGCTCCAGATCCAGTCAAGGCCAACAAGCGCCCTTCTAGCTGTGCTTGTCCTCGCGTCTCCACCGCAAACCGGGCAACGATTCCGAAATCCAGCTGCCTCACATCACACACCCCTGGCCGGATAAAGCGGTTTCTCAGCAAACAACCCGCCAGAGTGCTGGACGCATTCTCTTCGTACACACCCAGCAGTCCTTTCTCGAATACTGCCCCCCGTATGATCTCTTTTTTGGACATGACCCCAACCAACATTCTCGGCGTGGTTGGACATTAGCTTGCGCCTGACATTGGATAGAGACTGACTCGTCTCTCATTCTGCTTCCACCTAGGATAGACACAGCCCCTTGGCCCCCTGACATCCATCCCTCGCATGTGTCGCCGGTAGAATCACCGCTCTCCGGTCTGGGGCAAACCCCTCTGCCCCCTTGCTCCGGCAGGGCAAGGGGCGTGGTGGTGCCTAGATGTCCAGCGGCCGCCTGTGTACACTGACCTACCGCTTTTGCCATCGGCTCATCGGTGGCACCTCCCTTTCCCCCACCGTGTGGACCAGTCGCAGCTCTGGTTTTGCCACCCGTTCTGTGCGTGATGAACATACTGTGTTTGTCACAGCGGACGCCCCTGCCGTGGGGCACTATGCATTGGACCAATGGTCCCCTGGACAAGCCATCCACCTTCTTACCGAGTCCCTCAGAGAGTCGATGCGGTTTAGTACGTTCTGATGAGGGGCGTCTTGTTGTCGGTCTTGTTGTTCGAGCGGAGTTCCTCCTCCTGGTCTTCCCCATGGAGGGACCGTACGACGCTGTGCCTTCAGACTAGGAGTCCTGCCTACTCTGGCGGCGTGTTATTAAATGTGGACTCGAATCGACCTGACTGGAAGAACTTCCACTCGATATGACCTGTCCTCTGGCGAAATTACAAGCGCGGTGTGTCTGGACCACGTATAATCCGAGTGTTGCATGTGTGGTATGCAGCGCGTGCTCTCTTCTTCGGCAGTCATCCTGCCCATCATCTCCGGCACGCGCCATGAGACTGTTCTTGTTTCCCTGCCTGCCCTTCCAACTCCTGCATTCTGGACCCCCCAATGAGAGGTTGAGGCAGGTCGCAAGCAGAACGGCTTTTGCTCTGGTGTGAAAAAATCCGCACCAGTTGGCGGGGCCACTAAGCCTTGACATGACCGACACGGCCTCCCGTCGCGCCAGTTGGGGCACTCACTCTCTGAAAGCGGTACCACCCGGGACTTAGCTCTGGGAGCCAGAGACACGCACAGCCAACAAGAAGGCCTGTGGCGGGCGCTGCGGCGCTGTCAGAAAAAGGCCTTCAAGGGGCGCGGGGAGGAACGGAACGATCACCAGGACGGCCGCCGAAGTGAACACGAGTCTCGTGCCAGGTAACATTGGGCTCAAGAGCCACGTCTCTTCGTTGTGGTCGGGCAGGGTATCATACGCCGAGTTTCGTTACGGAGGGGTCGTGCCAGGCCACACAAACAGAAAGGGAAAAAAAAAAAAGAAGAAGAACTTGTTGGTCCATTGTCCAGGACTACCGCGCGCGCCGCCGTTGGTCCCGTTTGAAACTGCGAGGCGGAGAAGAATGCCTTGTCTTGTGAGGCTTTGCCCCCTTCGCGTGGAGCGACGCCAAAGGTTGCGCCTTATACCTGCAAAGAGAGGTCGTGCCAATGTTTTCAGCATCGCGTCTCGGCCGTTTATGAGGCCATAACAGCGGCCCGTCCGTGGGGCCCACTGGAAGGCTCTTTTGTATGATTTTGAAGCTGGGTCTCTATCTGGCGGCCCAAAAGGCGGCCTCCTTAGGCTTTCTCTTTGCGATTTTCTACTTTCTGGTTATCCTTTTCCCCTGCATTGGCTTCACCCATGGGTCGCTGGCCGGTCGTCTTTTCCGGCCTGCCTTCAGTAGCGTCGATGTGGGAATGCAATCTGCATCTGGTTGTAGTAGATGGGAAGCTACAGCACCAGGTATCGTACGATGGCTACGATGAGGCTCCTGAACAGGGCAGAAGATGTTGTAACTAAGACGACAAAGGGACGATCATGAGGGAACTCGCTCTATAATTGTGCTTCGTATCAAAAGCGAGAACCATAATTCAAACCAATAAGGTGTTCGACACTCGGCAGATTCCAAACTGCAATGGCATTCACACACACTCGAAGCGTTTCAACCGTAGGTCGTCACAAGGAAACGAACCACTGAATCCACGGCGTGTTTGATCCTCTTTCCCAATATCACAGAGTAAACCTGCGCACCTGCCATGCATGAGAAGTACTACGCGATATCTAGAAACAACAGATGCGAGCAGAGGAACCACGATACCCCGAAAAGACGGGAAACGCGCCCGCCCCCAAAGTAGCCTACACACCATCTTCCCGGGCCTCTTTTGTTTCAGAGCAACACGCAATCTCCAACCCGCTGTCCGGACTCCAAGTTTCGAATCGGGGAGGCAAAAGGGGGAGGGGGCGATTTTGCGGTTGGTACCATGTGCAATGATGGAACGAGCGCGAGCGATGCAAAAGGCCATGATCGCTGATGTCGAGGGACAGATGTCTGCGTTTCTCTCTCTCTCTCTCTCTCTCTCTTGCTTTCACACACATACACACACACACACTGAATTTCTCGGGGCCGATGCATGGGCAACGAGGTGACGGGTTGGTTGGCTGAGTAGATGGCCGGCTGGCTTCCGTCTGAAACGACAGGAGCGATTATGTACGGGGCGGGGGTTAGGCGACTTGATTTTGTGAATCTATGGGACCAGTGGTGAATTTCCCGATAAGGCGTCTTCTCCCTTGCTTCCCGGTGACGCGAGGCAAGGTGCCTGCTATAGCTCGTGGCTGTTCAATAGTAAGTCTTCAACCGCCGCCACATAAGGTCAGCGCAAACTCAAATCACTGACGGTCCATGCTGGAAACACTAGGTGCCTGCTCGTGACCACACAGCTCCAAGCACATAGAGTACACCATGACAAATTTCCACATAGAATACATCACGACAAAAATTCACGTGAGAAAGTCCACACGAGACATTGAATTCATTACGAACATGCTAATGTATCAGCTCAGTCCCTCCGCTCCATGACCTCGATGGTAGGCCCAAAATAGCAAATGAAAGACGCCAACTCCAATCCCCATCCCCATCCATCCATTGCCATGCTCTGATATACCAGCCCAACAAGCGCATGGCAAACTAAAAGACAGGAAGAACAACCCCAAAATGCAACAATCTTTTCGAGAATTAGACGAAACGCAAGAAAACAGAAATCTCACGAAAAACCGTGCCGAAATGTGGCCCTCGCCGCCTGTCTGTCATGAGTCGTCATCGTGACCGTGTCGAGATGAGCGGAGAAAAGAGACGTCCTTCCACACGGGATATCACAACTAAGAACAAGAAGAAAGTGCAGGTAGTACGAAAGAATTTGAAAACAGAAGAATATGCTTGCAGGACGCGTTGAGAGCCCTGATCTGATGCAGCTGGTCACTGAGTTGTCTTCACTCGTGTTAAAATTGTTGTGACCCAGAGTTGATAGCAGCAGAAATGGCCCGCGAGTAATGTTGGGAGCCTTCTTGGATATGTGCGTTCTAGGCACCTTCGAGAGGCTGGGCGAATGAGTAGTTGAAGTCTAGCAAGCCATCTAGCATCCAGTGTTGGGGGTCGAAGAAGTCGTAGTTGGTGTTATCCGTATAATTGATGCCGCTCAAGAGGTTGCTATTGGTGCCGTTTGCCGCCGCATTGCCGTTCGCGCTGGCTGGCGCTGCGAGGCTCGCGGCAGTGGTACCCGGCGTGAGGGCACCATTGGTCGCTGCCAGCATGTTGCCCGACGTCTGTGGCAGATTCTGCGCACCAGCGGCGGCAGGCATCAGTGTCGAATCCATGTGTGTCGATGAAGCCGAAGACTCGTTCGCTGAGTCCGGATTAGTAGGTTGTTTCAGGGCTATTGTGCGCGCGCCTGTTGTCAGTCACCGCAGTCACTCAGAAAGAAGACTTGGATGCATCGAGCCAGCGCACAGGGAAGGAAGGGAGGGGAACAAGGGGGGATAGTTACCGTCCAGTGTGCCGCGGCCCTGGGCTTGATAGTCCTCACGCCAGCGCCATACCGAGTCGAACACGAGACTCATGCTGTGACGGCACCGAACCTTGAGCTGCAGGGTGTCATCGACAACAGGCCGGGGCGACACCTCGTCGTTCTTGACAGACTTGATGTCGTGTCGCGCGCCATTCCACATCTGCACCATCAGCTCAGCGAGCCGGGATTGCAAATCATTGTTGATGACGCTGGTGGCGCGGATGGCGTTCAATGTCTTGTGGAACAGACTGCGGCTGCGTTCGGCTTCGATGATTTCGGCGAAGAATGATTTGCTCAGCTTGAGGAGGGCAAATCCTGCCGCGACGAGCATCTGCTGGATGTAATTCGAGGCGTAGAGCAGAATGTGGCCAGCCGTGTTTTGACCTGGCGACGTCACCTTGTCGTCCTCGAGAATGTGGTCTAGGAAGGCCGTCGTTGCGCGCCAAAGGCCCATCAGATCATCCATGTAGCCCGGGGTGGTGTTGGAGTCAAAGAAGCCGGCCAATCGGAGATGAAGAGCTGCGGCCCTGAGATGGAGGTTGACGATGGGCCCAAGATGCTGCGAAAGGATGGAAGCCTGAAGCTCTCCGTAATCCCGCCGATAGACACGCATCAGCATGGCTCTGTGCTCGTCACCTGCGACGCCGCGCGAGTCGCTGGCGTTGCTGTACATCTCTTTGGACACCTTGTCGCAGAACCTTTCGATCTGCAGCCTCGCCTCGAGAACGGGCGATAGAGTAAAGGGACCATCTTCGCCTCGTCTCACAGCCAGCGTCCAGTCGTACAGTGTCGACGCAGGCTGGCCGTAGCCTGTACCGATGGACTGGGCGACAATGTTGCACACGGCCCAGGTCGTGACGCGGTCATGGAGCTGCTCCTTGTTCAGGTCGACGGACACGCGGGAGAAGTCCTGGGTGTGGTTCGGGCGGTGCAGGCCAATGCCCGTGGCGGTCCTCAGCATGACGCCACAGAGAATGTGTGTAGGATCGGCCGTCGTCGTGCTTGTGGGCAGGGGCCAGGTGCACAACAAACAGAGCGCCTTGACGACGTAGTAGCTGCTGGGCACGTCGCCAATGGTCTGCCACAGCAGGCGCGTCAATGGGCCCGACAAGGTCGTCAGCAGGGTCGGGTCGGCACTGTAGCGACGCGCAGCGACGGCGACAATGGTCCAGAAAAGGAGCGAGTGCTGCTGGTAGTACGTGTCGGGCGACTGGTGAGGGTTCAGGAAAGGCAGGTATGGGTGGTAGTAGTTGAAAAACATGTTGAAGAGCTGAGAGACCGAGTCCTCGGTCAAGCGGACGTTCTCCAGCTCGTGGGTATATCGTGGCATGTTGTAAGAGCCGCCCCTCTTGAGGTGCAGCAGGGATGAGACAGCTTCGTCGGAGCCCATGAGTGAGGGGTTGCGGGTGTGTGTATAGGCGGCGGATGCGGCGACGGGGGACTGGAGGTCGTGGTCGTCGTCGTCGACGGTGAAGCCTTGGGCTTGGGCGCGACCGAGCTTTCTTCGCAGCGTGTCGATCTCTTTCTCCATCTCGGCGTGCTTGCTGCGCTTGCCGACGCGCTTGAAGTTGGACTCAATCTTGCAGTCGAGCTTGAGGCGATTGCAGCGCGAGCAGCTCTGGAAGGGGTCTTGGGCGACATCGCACCGGAGCTGAGACAATGGTCAGCAAGTGGTCAAGCTGATTTGGTCTCCCCAGGGACTTCATGTCAC